GTCGGTCCCTCACTCACGCACCAGGCCAGGCCAGTTGCCACTCGCAATTCTTCCCTTTGGTGGCCTCGGAGGGGCCCCGGCCAGGCCCCAGCCACACCCACGGCTGCCCCCGAGAAGCAGACCGAGCAGCCGGCGCCGCTGGCCTTTGTGGTTTCCTCTCTCCCTGCCCAGGGGAAGCGCAGAAAGGCCCGTGAAGCTGCCCCAGAAGAGGAGCACGCGGGCGTTTCCTCTCGTTACACGCCACGTCCACTCGCTGCCAGTCAGCACACGGGGCCAGATGCTCGGAAACCGTGTTCCCCGCCAGGTCCTCCACGTCAGGAGCCGGTGCTGCTCGTGACCCGGCTCGCCAGAGACTCTGGCAGGGCCCCCGCCCAGCAGCCTCTGAGGCCCTCTGTTGCTGTGCCTCCCCGTGGGGCGCTCACCCAGGCTTGATTTTCTTAAAGAAAACAAGTGCCCCATTCTTTGCTGGTCCTCATTTAAAAATAAGATTTAAAGACTTCCTCTTCCCGTCAGCCCTGAGCGCCTCGTTCTGTTTCCCTCACATCTGCTCCTTAGTCCAACCCCGGATATAAATAGTCTCCTTAGCTCGTATAACCCATCTCCATTTTTCTGACTCCCTTGAAACAGCTCCACAAAAATATCCGATAGATGATAAATGATTGATAGATAGATAGATAGACAGACAGACAGACAGACAGACAGACAGACAGATAGATGGACAGATAGAGGGTTAGGTAGATACACAGACACATAGATACACACGTGCCCAGAGAAACGGAGAGATTGAGAGAAGCAGAAAGAGGCAGAGACAGGAAGGACCCACTGACTTGTGATGTTTCTGTAAAAGCTAATGGTCGTATTCCTAGGAGCTAACCTTCCTGCTTTTCTGAGTGGTTATCGAGTAAGGGATCGTAGCTAGCATACCCAAGTAAATCTAAACACCAGGCCCTCAGCTATAAAGTAAGAAATCTATGACTTTATGTTTTAAAATAAACATAAGTCCATTTATTAAAATGTATAAAAGATTTAAAAGCACATAAAGCAGGCTCATGGACTTTTGTATACTCTTAATGAGTGTTATGTTCTAAACTTTATAGAGACTATTCTAGACGTTCTCTTCCGTAATCTCTGCATTGTTTTTAGCCAGATAGAGCAGATGATAAGCAGAATTCTCACCAGGGCCGTTTAGTTAAATGAAGATTTGGGAGGCAACGTTCAGCAGTCTGTGAAGATCTTTGGTGGAATCTTTACCCAACATGACGTGTGGTTGGGAAATGAACCCAGAACTTTGGATTATTACTGCTGCGCCCCCAGCTCCCTACACACACACACACACACACACACAATATACACACTCAATGTACACACACTATATACACACAACAGCGGCAAACAAACATGGGTCCAGCTGTTCCATTTTTCACTTTCCGGCTGGGCTCAGGACAGGCACATTTGCTCAGTTTAACCAGAGTTTGCCATGTCTTTAGGCCGTTGGCATCTGACAGGTAAATGGCACCGACATCTAATGGCCTAAGATGCTGAAAAGAGAGGACACACCCTGCTCCCCTGCTGGGCTGATGCAAGTCATCGCCCAAAATAAACACGCACACAGACACCCCCGCCAGCTCGCTGCTCTCCTCAGCCCGACCTGCTGGCCAGACTCTCGGGGTTATGTTAGCAATACCCCTCCTCACACCCAAGATACTCCACTTTCTTGGACTATACAAAGAATCACCAACAGACCTCACATTCGATTCCATTTTGCCTCAATTCCAGAAAATTCCTCTCTCCACGACCTTGTATGTGTGCAACGAACGGAGGGACAACAGAGGGAAATTAATTTCCAATTTGGGAAGGTGGTGAAGAGCAAATCGACCAGGAACAGAAGTGAGTTTGGAGACAGACCTGCCGCTCAGGTGTCTGGGCTGACAGGCCCTCCGTGCCCGAGTGGGGGCGGGTGGTCTCTCGGACGGGCAGGGCGGTCGATGGGCCCTCCGAAGGGGATCAGGGCATGTTTGAACACCACACACAAAATCAATGCCTGATCGACCTCAGATCTAATTGGGAAAGGTAAACAATAAGGCTTTAGAAGAAACCATGGCAGAGGTTTTCGTGACCTTGGACTAGGAAAAGATTTCTTAAACAGGACGCAAATAAACACTGACAATAGAAGAAAAGAGAACTTATGCGGGGTCACAATGAAGTTGTGCTCATCAAAAGACACCGCAGTGCGCGTGAGAAGGCCGGGCTGGCCTGGTTTGGCCTCTAACGAGGGGCTCACACTCAGACTGCGTGAAGGCGTCCAGCGAGTCAATTTTTCAAAATAAAAACCGGCAGCCCCAAAGGGGAAAAAAAGGAATAAAAGAATTGAAGAAAATTCTTCACAAAAGAAGATACCCAAATGCCAACAAGCAGTGCAGAGCCCCTCGCCTGGCCGGGCAGTCTGGTGGCAGGACCACAGGCACCGGCCGGGCACTGGCCAACCCATACCCAGTATAGGTGTGAAAGGAAGGCGAACCTAATACTTCAACGGGAGTCAGCTACAGAACACTCTGGAAAAACCTCTAGTAGTTTCCCGTAAACTGAAGACAAACCGGGCGATGACTCTGGCGCCCACTGTCCAGCGCCCTCCGCAGCTGACGGCCGTGGGGGCGTCACCCAGGTTGGGGACCAAGAGTTCGGAACAAGCTGTTCATAGCAGCTCAGAAGGGGCACGCGACCCCAGGAGAGGCCGAGCAAGCGTGCTAGATACACTTAGCAGCACATCTCGCAGGCCTGGAAATGAACGCTGCTCAGCTGCACTCGCGCACATGATGAATAAAACATAATATTAGAGAAAGAAGCCGCACACGCCAAAGGACAGCGCACACGACAACTGCTACAAAGTAACAAATCAGGCATGACTAATCTGTGCAATAGAAGGAAAAGCAGGGCCAGCTACCCTTGGTGGGAGGGCGGAGAGTGTCTGGAGGGCTAGAAGAGAAGCTTCTAGAGTGTCTTAAAGGCAGGGCCCCAGGGTGGAATGCAAGTCACCCTGGCGTGTTTCCCTTTTGGAAATCCACTGGTGTCTGCACTTTTCATTTTGTACATGGTGCTTTTTCTTTTCTTTTTTTTTCAATTTATGCATACAAGAGCTGGGGCGTAGGCCATGGTGCAGGAGGTGAGAGGACTCCCCAGAGACAGAGCAGGGAGCAGAACAGGCGGATCCACTGAAATCTACTGCTGCAGGGAGCAGCGGGGAGACAGGAGAGGTCTGCTGCACCACGTGGGTCAGCTCCATGGCCGGGGATCGAACCAGGCCTCAGTGGCTGGCAATAGCTTGATAGCACTGAGTCTTTAGCCCCTGGGCCACCAGGGAGGCCCTATATGGTGCTTTTTCCAAGTAAGATATGTCCACGGGAAAGCCAGTAAAATAGAAAAACTCAGCCCCATGCACAAGGAGACCCATTGTCTCAGAGCTTTAATAGTTCTAAGCAGGTTTCATTGTCCTATTTCACTGCATAGTAACTCTGCACAAAGCGGGGTCATTTCCAGAGAAATCTCGCGTGGTCCCGGTGAGAGGTTCCCTTCCTATGAAGATGACTGCTCAGCACCCTGGCCTAGCGTGTGCGGCCTCACGTCCACTGAGCACGGCCTGCCGTGCCCCAGCCTCTCCCATGCCGAAGCCGCTTTGCTCACCCATGTGACACACCAAAGTGCAGGTGCCAGCCTCTCCCATGGGCGCTCACTTCCTGCATCCCTCAGCACTGCCGCCTTCAGGTCAGCTGCCCACAGCTGCCCGCCCTGACCCAGCTCACCCCACTTCCCCACCCACAGAGCCCTCACCGCACCATCAGCTTCTTGTACCCCAAGCGTTGGCTTGGATCTGCTTCCGGAAGGAGCTTGGTTGAACGTGATGTGATGGAAAATAGAGATTAATTTCTCTGCCTTCAAAACGATCCAGAGTCAAAGCTGCAGGAATGATACCTGGGGTGAAGGTAAGCTGTGAAAACGGAATCGCAGTGGAAATGAAAGGCAGCTAAGGAGTTGATGGAGCCTGGGAACCCTGGTGATGTCATGGGAGAGCTCACAAAGTTCTCACAGCTCAGGAAATGGAAGGGGGGTGTTTCCGGTAAGGTTGAGAGGCGTTCCCGAGGAGCTCAGAGTCACTGGAGAAAAAGCAATAAGAGATGGAAAAATGCAAGAGAAATGGATGTGAGAGTCCGTCCTCATCAGCCTCCCTGAGAGCTGTGCTCACCCCCCATGGGGGTTTCATGATGTATGAAGGTGGAGAAAAACGCGTCACAAACTCTCAGGGGGGCATGAGCTTCTCTCCATGTGGCAGGGAAGCCTGGCATCACATGTCCTTCCAAGATGGAGCAGGAGCACCTCGCCTGGCCTGTGGAGCACGGGGACAGCGCCTCCCGCGCCGGACGGAGACCCAAAGCCAGCCTGGGCTGCATCCGGGGTCAACAGAGTCTGCAGTAGGTCACACACAGCAGACCCATGGCAGGTAAACTCCAGGGACCCCATGAGGAGCACTGACGCTGACAGTGCCGGGGAGTGGGGAGCAGTTCCTGGATAAAGGGGTTGAGCTGCTGCTTATGAGGGGTTGCCTCATGACTGAGGTGTCATAGGCACCCAGAGAGGCCCCCTCAGTAAGCCAGGAAGCTCTGCAGAGAGAGGGGGGACCCCACCCTTTGGAGGGCCCAGCTGCCCTCCCAGAGCTGCCCCCCTGAGCAGGTGCCGGCAGAGGAAGCAGGGCCAGCGCTGAAGTTAGCCCGACCCATGCGGCTTCCAGGCTAATCCTACTCTCTCCAACCCTGACACCCTGGAAAAAGCCATCCTCAGCCTCAGGATTTGCAGCCACAAAATGGGAATAATTGCACTGACAGGCCAGCATGACTGAAGAGAACGCATTTGACACCATCACCCCCCCTCCCACATTCTTTCATTAAATCACATTGATTGGCAGTGCTGGTGTGGCTCTTCTCAGAACCACGGCCATCATTGGGCTAGTGGCCACTGAGGAGCCTTTCCGTGGAGGCGAATCTGGGCCAGGTCTGCCCTAAACAGGGGCTCGGATCACGCGCTGACCTCCGTCCTGGGTCGGAAGCCCTCCAGGGTCTGCAGCCGCTGACCGAGCTCCTTCCCGCCCCACTTTCCACATCAGCTCTCACAGGTACGTCAAAGGCTGCAGGGCACAGGGCCGCCACACATGTTTTAGCCATTCCAGGAAGAAACCTCAAACAGAAATAGAAAAACAGAAGCAAAGTCAGAATCAAGGGAAAAAATTGCTGCATGTGGACTTGGACCCTGGGGCGGGCACCTACTGACTGAAAGTTGCTCCAAGTGGAAATTAACGGACGGGAAATGAACACGACTCCTGACTGGAGGCCAAGGCCGCGGTGTGGAGACAGTTGGTCAAACTTCAGAGGAGCAAGATGGAATGTTGTTTTCCAGAAGCCAATGCCAAACAGCACACCATCTGAAATTAAAATGCATTGATTAAAAAGTCTTCAGTAAATAAAATGGACCCCAGAAAAGGCTTTGCCAATGTCAACAGAATCACAATTCAGTTCCAAACAAGCAAATTTCAGAAATTGTAAAACCTCAATGCATTAATTTATGAGTATCATAGGCTCTTGGAACAGGTTATTTGAGTTCAGTGTCTAAGTGTTTCGTGAGCCTCAGAAAGAGGATTCAACTCATTGGGTCAAAATATTCATTTTTGATTTTTAAGAACCATTACAGTATAAAAAGACAATTAAATTAGGTTTTGAGTATCTACCTATGTTGTTCTATTCTAGAATGTGGATGCAATATATATATATATATATTTGTATAATTTATTTAATTATATATGTTTTGCATCATTGTTCATTTTTGTAAAATGTCTGCTTTCCCCTCTCGGGGGAAGGCCCCACGGAATTCCCACCACCCGTTCACCCGTGGCCATCACCACAGTCCCTGGTGCTCTTCCCACCCTGGTTTTAATCCCTCTCCCTCCTCCTCCCCTGCAGAATGTCGGATTTATAGTTGCTTGTTAATTTTGCTTGTTTTGTTTTATTTTTTTATTGTTATTATTTTCCCTTACTTGGTTCCCCTATTTTCCTCCTGTAAGTGAACCCACCCAATATTTTTCTTTTTCCTTCTGACTTACTTCACTGAGCATAATCCTTTCAGCTCCATCTATGTTGCTGCAACACATGTGCAGAATATAAACATTGTGGGCCTCCCCGGTGGCACAGCGGGTTGAGCACCATGCTGGGAAGCTGTCTGCAGCCTCTGCAGCATGGGTTCAATTCCTGGCCAGCCAAGGAGCAACCCACCTGGCGAGCAGACAGCCCGCTGCTCGCCCTGTCTCGCCCTCTGCTCCCCTCAGCGGTGTATTTCGGTCATTCTGCCTATAACACACTCCGCTCTGTCTCTGGTGAATCCTCTCACCCTCCTGCGCCTCTGGCCTGAACCCTGGCTCTTGTATAAATAAATAAATCTTAAAAAAAAAAAAAAGAATATAAACACTGTGTTCTCCTTTTCCTACGCTCTACATGAAAGTCTCACCCGTTTAGCATGGCGGGGGCAAGATTGCTGCATTTAAGGCCTGGGATAACTCTGCACTATTTAGGGCCACAAAGTCGAGATATTTCCAGATGAAACCTGCGTATGACCTTCTTAATCAGGACAAGAGTGGAAGAATTAATAGCTTTTTTGAGTATCTAGATTGACATTTTACATTTAAAGATTCAGTGTCTGGCTTCATTTTCCAGTTTCATTGATGCCTGATGTTAGGTTAGTGTATGACATGGGGCTTGAATTTGGGGAGACTGAGAGATATGGATGATAGAAATTCAGGTAGGGGTTAAAGTGAATACTGAAATGCTTACAGAAGAAATAAAATTCTAGTTTTTGTTTGTTTGTTTGTTTGTTTGTTTGTTTTTAGTTTAATTATTTCTGCAAAGCAACTGATCAAGACCTGGTTGGAAGAGTGAAAGGTGCAGGCGGGTGAGAGAAGAGCCTCTTTGTCCCCGGGAGCTGCTGGCCCGCTCTGCTGCTGCCTTCCCCTGTCGCCGTCTAATGGCCACTAGATTGGAAAGGAAACAGGGGGGCCGCTCTGTCTCAGGGGACTCCTCTCTCCCCTCCCGGGGTTTTATTTCTTGAAGAGCCCGGAGACTAACACACTCCGCTGAGCAAGTGCCCAGGAGCCGGGCAGACATCACGTCTTCTCACGCCCCCCTCGCCACGCTCAGGCGGTGTCAGTGTAATGGCAAGACCCTCCCAGCGCCCCCCCAAGTCCCGCTCACTCCACTCCGGCCTTCAGGGCTCCACATGGTCCCTGGAAAGACTCGGGGTGCCACGGCCCCTCTCTTCCCCAGTGGCCCGGCAGAGGACAAGCCTCGGCCCCTGACCGCGCAGACCCAGCGCCAGCCTTCCCATCTGGAGCTGGCGTCTGACGAAAATTAATTCTTTATTGTTTAAAATGGACTCTTATGACTAATTCTTAATCATTACCCAGACTTAAACTATAATTCAGAGGCATTTTGGGGAAATATTATTAAATACCAATCTCAAATAGAAGCGGTTGGTTTTATAACACTTTAATACGCTTTCCGAGCGTCTGTCAGGGAATAGCTTTGACTTCAAATGAAATTGCTTTCTTATCTGGCGCCTTCTGTGATGCTGGAATCTAGCAGCCTCTGCGCCTGCGGCTCCCTGCCAGGAAACGTGCAGGCGCCTCCAGCTGGTCCACACGTCGGGGCTCGTGCCCTGCTGGGCCTGCAGACGTCTCCCCGTGTAAGGGGGCGCCACGAGGTCACTCCTGTCCGCCGCGATGACTGACCCACTTCTGATCTTCAGCTACCGGCTCATTCACTGTCCACGCCACGCACCGACTTCACACCCCGGGAGGCTGCTTGCGTCCCTTGTGCAGTTGGGGGGAGAATTAAGCACGTGATACCTGTAAACGCCCAATCTGCAGGCCGCAGGGCCTCACTGGCCTCGCCTTACCGGCACTGTGGTGAGCGTGTTGCTCTCACACCGAGTAGCCCCAGGACCAGAGACGGCAGGAGTCTGTGTCTCCTGATCCCCTAATGACATGTGAAATGGAATTGGGCAAGACGAGGTTTGGAAGGAGACCCTCGCACTAAGCCGGCAAGGCGTCCGTTTTCACATTGCTCTGAAGCTCCTCCAAACCCTTTATTTTTCTTTTAAAGACACGAACATAAAAATGTTACAGCTGAAGTAGGTCAGCAAGCCTTGGCTTTCGCATCGGATAGATTCTCAACGAGTAGGAAAGAGCGGCTTCGATTTTAAGCAGCCGAGAATGGCCCAGGGCTGCGAGACATCTCCCGGTCCTGCTGTCCCCCTTCTGTCCCCCCCACCCCTCCTGCCACACCCCCCGGGGGGCGGCCTTTGCTTCTCTAGCCTCAGAAGAAACAAACACCGTGGGAAATTTCAGATACGATCTAGATCCAAGTTGTAATTTTCCAAAAGTTTTTTTTAATATATTTAATAGCACTTTTAAATAATAGCCAAACTGTCCCTGCAGCATCCATCAGTCTGCTGAGATGTGAGCAGAGTCTGGGGCTACACTGAAATCTGGGGTGGGAGACCTCGGGCACGGGGGCTTGACGGTACCCAGGCCCTGGGCAGACTCACACCAGACACTCGGGCAGAACAAGCTCCGGTTTCCAATGTTACAGCGAAAAGCGGTGCTCTGTCACCTGGCATGTCCCGTAGCCTGAATAATTTTATTCAGTTGGGGTTGATTTTGTGCTTCTCCATCCTCCTTAACAAATTAAAAACTAGGGCTTCCCTGGTGGCACAGGGGCTTAAGTCTCAGCACTATGAAGCTATCGGCAACCACTGCAGCACGGGGTCGATCCCTGGCCAGGGAGCTACCCACAGGGCACGGCAGACCTCGCCCGTCTCCCCGCTGCTCACCTCAGCAGTGTGTTTCAGTAGATCTGTCTGTTCTGCTCCCCACTCTGTCTCTGGTGAGTCCTCTCACCACCACACCTCCCCCCACCTCTGGCTACACCCCAGCTCTTTTATGTATCAATAAAATAAATCTTTAAAAAAATAAAAACTAGGTTCTTCTTACATTAGACACTGTGGTTTTGAAATGTTGAGGTTGTGAGCACTCACCCAGCATACAAGATACTCAGCATCAAGCAGATTTGTTTTTGTTTAATTTGGCGGACATTAAAAGTTCCATCACGAAGGGCAACAAGGCCGGGCGGTCACACAGGTTTGGGAAGAGCCTGCCCGGATGACTAGAGCAGCAGTGACGGCCCCTGTCCCGCAGCGTCCTGCCCTCTGAGACCACAAGTGTCAGGTCCTGGGAGGGCTGGATGAGCTGACATACTCGACGTACTTAGCACAGTGCCTGGAACACACCAAGGGCTCCAGCAGGTGGTCGCCATGGTTACAGCTCCTCACGCTGTCGCGGGCAGCGAGCAGATGCTGACGTAACAGGGACTTCATCCTTGAGTCTCTTAAGGCAAGCGGACAAGCAGAAAAGTGCCGGAATGAAGAAACGATGCTATTCACGTCGGGGGCCCGTGTTTGGCCCTCTCCAGTGCTCGCACGCACGTTCCCGTGAGCAAACTCACTTTCTGAGCAACATCGGCTCTTCTTACGGGCTGCCTGGTGGTCCACCCAGGGGAGGCGGCTGGACGCCCGCTGGGCAGGACACCCACTGGGCAGGACACCAGTGCCCAGCCCTGCTGTGAGTGGACAGCGCTGGAGCTTCTTCTGACTCCCTCCGTCCCTTCTGACTTCCTCTCAATAATATTTTGTTATTTTGTTATTTTCAGTAGAGTTCATACACGCCCTGCACTAGATATACCGATGGTGATTGGATTATCTTCATGTCATTTAAATAGGATTATTCAAAAATTGAATATTCAAATAATAATTCAAAAATTGTTGCATATATATATGTTTGCGTGACATTGTACCTAGCAACATTATACAATGCATTTATTAATTACAATTATTTATATTCTCCACTTTTATTATTTATTTTTGTTTTCCGCCTTATTTCATTTTCCAGGAATTTTCAAAGCAATTTTGAATGCAAAACCTGAAGATTTCTTTCTGGGAGACTCTAAATGACATATGCAACTTAATTAGCTCACGCAGAATTACAGAACTAAACCCTGTACTTAGCCTGGCCTCAGCCTTGGGAAGTGTATCCTCAGCTCCCGCAGGGGACCCCTTGGCGGGGTGCTGCGCGGGCTGACTCCCGGAGATGCTGGGGCGTCCAGAGGGCAGCTCAGCGCCCCCCAGGATCCGCGTTGTGGACGGGGCTCCTCCTCCGGGGGCCAGTGGCCGGACTCAGGTGGGCCTTCCCTTGTGCCCACTTTCGTCTCTTCAGGTGGTTTCATTCCTGCCTTTATGCGTTGAATTCACCAATGAAGGAGAAACCTGAAACCCCACACTCAGCCCCAATAAAGTCCCCTCTCTCTCATCTCTTGAGTCTTCAACGCGGGGAAACGGAGCTTCTTGACTCTGTGACTTTCATGCTCGGAGCCCTGCAGGCCACGGTGACTGACAAACTTGTCTGCCTTGTCCTTTTCTCCTGCTCTGCGCTTGATGTTCCAGTGACACGAGAGTCAGACGTGCCCTGCTCTGCTCCAGACCCCGCGCACCCTCTTCTATGCTGGGGGTCATTTTTTATGCAGCTTCCTGCTTTAATACGTACCTTTGATCTGTATTTTAATTAATTCTGTTTCCTGCTCACTCCATTTGCATTAAATCCATGTATTCACTATTTTATTTTTAAGTTATTTTTCACTTATTGACATTCCATTATTTTCGCTTGGTTAAAATTTTCTGATAAAATAGAAATACGGGCTTCTGTGTGTCGTCTTCACCCTTTTCCTCTGGCTTATTAAGTAATTTACACTTAGTGATTTTGAAGTCTGCCACTTCTAAAATCTGGGCCACCCGTGCTTGTATTCCTACTCACTTTATTTTTCCTCTTTATTTCCAATAATTGAGTCTTATTTCCCAGCGTGACTGGCCACAGCTACTTTGCACAGAAAGGCCACAGCGGCACGTGACTGCATTTTCCTCACACGGCCCCAGCCAAACAGGAAAGGGGTTCACGTATTAGTCCGATGAGAACGGCACGTGCGGGAGTCAGGGCTTGTCTTCTTCCAGGTTCCCCACTCCTGTTCTTGGGGCACAGCCTTTCAGGAACCCGGGAGACGTGGAGCTAGCCAGGGCTCCTGCCTGCTGCGGAGTCTGCTCCTAGTACTCACTTGGGGTTAACTGATGTGCCCTGGGGCCCTCAGCCTGGGGCTTTGGTCCAGGGGAGCACAGTTTAGATTCGGGTCTCTGGCCTCTTAGGGATACTTGGGTCCTGGCACCTTACAGCTCTGCTCTTTTTTCTCTCAAACACCACACCATTGTCAACGTCTCCGCTGGCATCTTTGTCACCTACTCTCACCAAAGCAGCCTGGACTCCCAGCATCTCCCAGCACTGCTCCTGGCAAATGCCTCAAGGAAGACCGTGGTTGGTAATGCCAGCCCATGCCCCGGCAGTAACCTCTCGCTCAGAGACGCTACAAGATCTTCAGACAGAGGGCTTTCTGGTTTATTTAAATTTCTGCCTTTTTTTTTTTTTTTTACATATCTACTTTTTTTTTATTTTACACATTTTTACATCATTTTTCATTTTTGCACAATGTGTGCATTTTCATCTTGGCTATATTCCCCGTGCAATTCCCACCCCCTTGTTTTAACCCTACTCTCTCCTCCCCGCCTTCCCCGCCCTTGCAGTGTGTCTCTGGTTTGTAGTTGCTTGTTGATTTTGATTTTTTCTTTATTATAATTAGGTTTTTTTCCTGGTCCCTTATTTAGGTTTTCTAGATTCCTGCTATGAGTGAGACCATCCGGTATTTTTCTTTTTCTTTCTGGCTTATTTCGCTGAGCATGATCCCTTCCAGCGCCATCCATGTTGCTGCAAATGGCATGCATTTATCTTTTTTTGAATGCTGAGTAATATTCCATGGTGTATATGGGCCACATCTTCTTGATCCAGTCATCTATTTTTGGGCATTTGGGCTGTTTCCAAAGCTTAGCTATTGTAAGTGGTGCTGCTATAAACATAGGGGTGCAGGTGCTCTTTGGAATTGATGTTTCTGTGTCCATACCTAGGAGTGGAATTGCTGGATCATATGGAAGCTCTATGTTTAGTAGGTCCAGAAATCTCCACACAGCTCTCCATAGTGGTTGGACCAGTTTGCACTCCCACCAGCAGTGCAGGAGAGTTCCTTTTTCTCCACACCCTCGCCAACATTTGTTGTTGCTAGTTTTTTTTTTTAATATGTGCCATTCTCACTGGTGTGAGATGGTATCTCATTGTAGTTTTGATTTGCATTTCCCTGATTACAAGTGATGTTGAAATTTTTTCATATGCCTGTTGGCCATTTGCATTTCCTCTTTGGAGAAGTTTCTTTTTAGCTCTTCTGCCCATTTTTTGACTGGATTGTTTTCTTTGTTTTTGTTGAGTCTCATCAGCTCTTTGTAGATTTTTGTGATCAGTCCTTTATCATTAGTGTTGTGTGCAAAAATGTTCTCCCAGTTGGTGGGGTTTCTCTTTGTTTTTGTTATTGTCTCTTTTGCTGTGCAGAAGCTCTTCAATTTGATGTAGTTCCAGCTGTTGATCTTTGCCTTCACTATCACTGCTTTGGGTGATGTGTCTGTAAAGATGTCTTTGATGTGCATATCATGTAGTGTTTTGCCTATATTTCCTTCTATATGTTTTATGGTTTCAGGTCTTATGTCTAGTTCTTTAATCCATTTTGATTTGTTTTTTGTACATGGGGTGAGGTAGTAGTCAAGTTTCATTCTTTTGCATGTAGCAACCCAGTTTTCCCAGCACTTTTTATTGAACAAACTTTCTTTGTTCCATTGCATATTCTTTGCTCCTTTGTCAAAGATTAGTTGACCATAAATCTGTGGGTTTATTTCTGGATTTTCTATTTGGTTCCACTGGTTGGTGTGTCTGTTCTTGTTCCAATACCATGCAGTTTTGATTATTATGGCTTTGTAGTATAGTTTGAAGTCTGGGCGTGTGATGCCTCCATTCCCTTTTTTTTTTTTTTCCAGGAGAGCTTTGGCTATTTGGGGTTTTTGGTGGCTCCGTATGAAATTTCATCAATATTTGTTCTATTTCTTTAAAGAATGTCATTGAAATTTTTATTGGAATAGCATTGGATCTGTAAATTGCTATTGGTAGGATGGCCATTTTTATAATGTTAATTCTTCCAATCCATGAGCAGGGGATGTCTTTCCATTTCTTTGTGTCTTCTTCTATTTCTTTTAACAGTGTTTTACAGTTTTCTTTGTATAGGTCCTTTACCTCTTTTGTTAGGTTCATTCCCAAGTATTTGATTTTTTTTTGTTTCAATAATAAAAGGGATGGTTTTCTTGATTATTTCTTCTTCGGATTGTTTGTGTATAGAAAGGCTACTGATTTTTGTGTGTTGATTTTGTATCCTGCTACGTTACTAAACTGATTGATTAGTTGTATTAGTTTTTCTGTGGAGTTTTTGGGGTTCTCTATGTATACTATATCATCTGTGAATAGTGATAGTTTGACTTCTTTTTTTCCCTATTTGGATTCCTTGTATGTCTTTCTCTTGTCTTATTGCTCTGGCTAGGACTTCCAGTATTATGTTGAAAAGCAGTGGTGAGAGTGGACATCCTTGTCTTTTTCCAGATCTTAATGGAAATGCTTTCAGCTTTTCACCATTGAGAATGATATTGGCGATGGGCTTGTCATATATGGCCTTTATGATGTTGAGGTATGTTCCTTGTATCCCAAGAATTTCAAGGGCCTTTATCATAAATGAATGTTGTACTTTGCTGAAAGCTTTCTCAGCATCTATTGATATTATCATATGGTTTTTATATTTCTTTTTGTTGATGTGTTGGATTACATTGATTGATTTTCAGATGTTGAACCATCCTTGTGTCCCTGTGTCCCTGGAATAAATCCTACTTGGTCTTGGTGAATTATCTTAGGGATATATTCTTGGATTCTGTTAGCTAAAATTTTTTTAAATACTTTTTTTTAAGATTTTGTTTGTTTTTATACAAGAGCTGGGGTACAAGCCAGAGGCACGGAGGGTGAGAGGATTCACCGGAGACAGAGAGGGGAACAGAACAGGTAGACTGATGAAATACACTGCTGAGGGAAGCAGCAAACGAGACAGGAGAGGTCTGCTTCGCCATGTGGAATTCTAGTTGGCTGGCCGGGATCGAACCCACGCTGCAGAGGCTGAGGACAGTTTTACAGTGCAGTGCTCAACCGCCTATGCCACCAGGGAGGCCCTTGTTAGCTAAAATTTTATTGAAGATTTTTGCATCA